AATTTTCTTTCAGAAACTCCATTTTTTACTGAAGCTTAAAAATACAGAGTAGAAATTATGACGAATACTCTAATAGAGTTTACTGCACTGAAAAGTCATTTTTTTCAGTGTGCATTTAAGACAATTTCATCATCAATTCAAAGCAATAAGAAAATAACTGAAATGTTATTTACGGTAACTTAAACTGGACTTGTAAGTCATGAAATTATAATTTTTTAAATAAAGGCCTTAATTTCTACTTCTGATTATCATGGCATATAAAATCCTTTATTTAAAAAAAAAGTTTAAAATAACAGTTTTGTAAGATATATTTTATCAGATATAACTGCTTCCGGTTCATCATAAAGCTGTATGCTCAGAAAAAAAGCTTGAGGAGGAGAAAAAGTTGGAGAAAAATGCAAATTTAAAAAAAATAGGCTGGAAAACGAGGAATTCAGGACATGTCGACGGCAAAGATGCCGAAGGATTTTGCCGTGTTATTTATTTTGAGGAGGAGAAAAAGAGATGTAACAACCAACTATGAGCTGAAGAGCAAATACTGTTAGCAGCCTTAAAGCTCTGTGTTAAAGATCCTTCTTATATAACATTGACTTTTCTTTGCTGAAACTATTTTTTAGTGGATCTTTAAAGTTAACAGAATTAAATACGACTTCTTTTTCAACCCTGTTTCAATTTGTTGTGATGCAAGGATAGCCCAGCAACTGTTAGTCTGTGTGCACAGCCAAAAGCAGGAGAATCAAGGTTTTATTTCCTCATATAGAAAAAATAGTGTCTGATAACAAAACTGCTTCTCCCTCTCTCAGCCAGACAGGCAGCTAAGAGCATGTCTAAACGGATACCCAGCATTACCATGCATTCGCCCCCAGCTTGTAGCTCCCCAAGCCAGGACTTCCCACAGGGCGACCAACCTGAGAGCCTGACGCTGGATGGTCTGTCCACAAAGAATGTAAGTTTAGGAAGGTTCAAATGCAAACAGTAGGTTTACACTTCAAAATAAACCTTCTTCCACTTTCTTTTATTTAAAAAGTTGTGTATTTTGTCAGTGTCAGTATATTTTTTTCACCTTTTTAGGGGCTTCCATTTTTTAAATAATTTCTTTACAAGAAAAACAAAAGATGTCACATTAGAGACACGTAAGACAGTTGAAAACTAACGTATAATTAAACTGATTATTTTATTATCTACTATTTTTGCCTCCAGTCTTCAGGAGCAGCAACCTTAATGACATTTTCTCAAACCTCTGGAGCTGCTAACGATGAGATAAACCATGGGGCACTTCTGGAGGACCCCACTCAGAAGAAGCTCCTAAACCAGAAGGCCACCCCCCCACCATCTCCCCTCCTGTCAGAGTTACTGAAGAAAGGAAGCATCTTGGCTTCAAATTCCAGACTGGTAAGAAGCTGGACTTCCTCTCTAAATGAAAAAAAAAAATAAAATCATCAGAGCAGCTCTTCCAAAATTTACATCACTATTTCATATTACTGCATTTAAGAGATTAGGGATGGGTGATATGTGTAAACACAGTTTACGAACATGTGTTTAAAGATGTTTTTATATGAAGTTAGATTTGTTTCTTTATTATTCAATCAAAAAAAGGTTGCTACAATCAAAAAATATATTTTCAATTAAAAAAATCTTCACTTTAATGAAAAAAAACTTTTCAATCAAAGAAAAAAAGTATTTGAATGCAAAAATATATTTGAGACACACTGCTTTTCTTTGATTGAAACTGTTTTATTTGATAGAATTGCAGTCTTTTTTGTTTAAAGCAACTTTTTAAATTGAAGTAACATTGTCTTTTGATTGGACCATATAATGGGTAGGACATTTGTGTCTTTATTATTCAATCAAAAAAGAAGTTGCTTCAAACAAACACAAAATCAATAAAAAAAAGTAACTTCAATGAAAAAATAAATGTTTTAAATCATAGAAAATAGTTTTTGAATGCAAATAAAATATTTGAGACTTAAAAAATTGCATTTGAAGGCTTTTTTTTATTGTTGAAAATGCTCTCTTTGGTTGAAGGGATCTATTTTGTGTTTATTTTTGTGTTTGTTTCTCTTTTTTGCTTGTTTTAAATTCCTTTCCCACCGCAATGTTTTTACATACAGGTAAAATGTAAAGCTGACAACTTTGTCCTCTTTCGGCTGCTCCGCCTCTACGTATTTATTAATTACTCATTCTAAGCCATTGGAGCGCTGTCATTTTTGATGTGATATTATTAGACTTTCACATAAGTATTTATTTAAAGTAATATTTCCTTTCTGCCAATAAAAAGCCAAATTTATTGCAGACTGTCCCTTTAAGGCTGTGTCTGCTCATCGTTATGGTCAAAGTCCCATAAACACAAATACGGCTCTAATATTTGATATATGCTGGATGGTGCTTTGATGTCATTTGCTGCTGCTACAATGTAGCAAACAATTGATCAGAAATAATACATCTAAATGATCCTAATGATTACTTTATAAACATCAAGGTCTGTACTTTATTATTATCGCAAATAGGGCTGCATATAACGATTATTCTTTTAAGTTGTGGTATAATTACTGCTCTAAGTGGGTCGCTCTGTCAGCTAAAGGCATGTTTTACAGTCTCTATACCGCAGTTAATAATTAATCGATTACTGAAATAGTTGTTGATTATTTCAATAATCGATTAATCACTATTAATCTGATTAGTTGCTTCAGCCCTAGGTACAAATAATTTGGAGTCTTATGGTGATATAGAGAATTTTACAAAAAACAGTAATCAATAGAGCATAAAATTCAATCCTAGTATAGAATAAAATAATACATATATACTGATACAAATGCAGTGACAGTGTGAATAAGTCCAGGTGCAAAGCAGTATTTTAATATTAGATGAAGCAGTTCATTTCATCTTTGTGTATTTGGTTATTGCACAGAAATTGTTCACTTGCTGCACATGATCAGTACGATCAGTATACGATCAGTATGATTCAGGGGGACAGGTTCATTTGGTTTTGTAGTTGTTGGCTCCATATACAGCTCTTAGAACTATCCTTAAATGTGTTTGTCTTGGTTTAGTGTAACCTGTATTTTATCAGGTCATTCAGATGTTTGATGGAGTGGGATGAATCCTTGATGATATTGCAATGCTCTGCTGAGGTAGGATCATCAAGGATGCTTCCCACCCCAGTAAAACCTAATTTTGTAAAAAGAGAAAAAAACAAAAACAACCTTAAATACATTTATTCTGTAGTGGAAAATAAGTCATTGGTTTTTATTTATAAAACATGGACAGAAATAATAACTTCATCACAGATTAGATAATTTTTTTATTAAATACAAAATGCAAATGTTAAAAGTTGCTACAACTAATAATACATTATGTAATTATGATTCATTAAGTTATAACAGCCAAAAAAACGTGCTTATATTTTAGTTCAGCTGCTGAAAGAAGGAGATGTTTAACAAATCCTACATATTGCATGTCTGTGATCCAGTATCAGGGTTCCTACACAGTCTTGAAAAGAGAGGAGAGCATCCCATTATGTAGTAGAGCTGAACTGATACAGGTTTTTAAAAGGCCAATGTGGATACCAATTATTTGGTCTAACTTTTTTTCCTTCTCCATCAACATGACACAAATAACAGCAATAAATGTTACAGAATATTGAATAGTTTTATTTGAACAAAAATATTTTAATTTCAATGAAAAAAAAACCTTTATAAAAGAAAATGACAACGGATAGCAAGTGGAGGAATTGGCAATGCATGTGCTTCACATCTTTAAAGGCGCACCAAAGACTTTATGACCTGAAGAGTTGATGCGTATACGTTATTTTAAATGATTCCTCAGGCCAATATACAGCGCTTGACACTATCAATGCAACGAGCTGGGCTCCCCTCTTAAATTATCGCCTATGTAAGCTAGGAGATGATGGACCGTCATTGGCCAGGTCATGTAACCTGGAAAAACGTATCGCTTTATGACCACAGGCTCTTTTATCATCATTGAGTTAAGGCTTTTGCTTTTCCGCCTCCTCTACTACTGGTCATGGCTGAGGCAAGAAAAAAGTTTAAACCGTCTGAGGAGACTAAGAAGAGAAAAAATTAAAGGGATCGTGTCTGAGGAAAAACAAGAGTTGATCATGGAAAGGAGTTTGTTCTTTGGTGCAGGCTGAAAGAAGTAGCCGGACGTAAAACCGATTCTCTTTTCTCAACTTTATTATTAGACTGGTAAGTTAACACTTTGCTCTTAGTATACAGTCATATATCTTTGTATTTATTTTCAATGTTGTCAGGGTGGTTTCTGTGTCAGTGCAGTCTTTGTTTTTCTCCCTCTCTACCGCAGGTGGCTGCTGATTAGCAGGGAGGTCAGGTGCTGTGCGTAGGTGTTCAGTTTTCATTGAGGCTTGGATGGCTTAAAAGCGGATGGCTGTCAGCACTTGGACGCCAGAGTGTTGGCCATACGTGGTTGTTCAGATCTCACTTCGGAGCACCTTCTGAGAGTCACTGATCTCTGCAGATCTGATCAGCTTCTGGTCGGCCCCGCAGCCTCTCTGAGATTCAAGCACTCACGCCAGCGCTCAATCAGCACGATGCCCAGCTTTACTGTATCTTGCTGCCACCCCGCAGACTGATCGGCTGACCCCTGGCTAACCCTCTACCTACCAGCCGCCTGACGCTGGCAGCCACCTTCCCCATCTTCCTGCATTTCCCGCCTACGGACCTCTGCAACCTCGCTCACTCCCCCCAGTGGATCGTTCATGTCTGAAGCATTTAGCCTTTTAGCGCCATTGTTCTCATCGTACACATACTCCCATTGACTCTCGCTCTCTGTTGCAGTGTGCCTCATGCTCTCTTCGTTTCCAGACGCCCTGAAGAAACTGCACGTGTTGTCCCTGTTTTTTTTTTTTAAATAAACAATCTGAAATCTGTTCTACCTGTCTCCTCAGTGTGTTCTGCATGTGGGTCAGAAAACAAGGGATTATGACAGATGTTTAGCAGAAGCAAAATACGGGCAGTTACAGGTCTAACGCCCCTAGTGGCCAAAAGGTACCAATTGTGCCTTTAAATTTGTCCTTGTAAAAATTGGATCTGTAATATGTGTTAAAGCTTTCAGACAAAAAAAATTACTTGCTCTAGGTGATTTAAATAAATATTTTGTTGATGGGTTTGAGGTCTTTTTTACTGTTATAGCATTGCTTTTAGTCTAAAATCCCGATTCCTTTTTACCACTATAATCCTTCACTCACCCCTCCATTGACTCTTTCCAAATTGATGGGCAAAACTTGGTTAATTGTAGGAGGTGAGAAAAAAAAGAACTTGCAAAAAAAAAAAAAAATTGAACCTCAGTGAGCTGCTTCTGATAAGCAACTAAAAAGAACGAGTTTAAAGATAACTCATGAGCAGCTGAGATGAAACAAAACAGAGGCAGAAAACCTATAATTCTTAGTTGTTTAAAAAAGGAGGAAATACAAAAATAAGTTAACATTTTACTTCCAAAGACTACCAGCTGGTCTAAAAGTACAGAATAAACTGCAGTCTCAGTAGTTTTCTAAATTTGACTACAAATAATATGCCTTTGGCTGCAGTGTTGTAAAAACTGAAACATTCAGACAGATGGGATCCTACATGTTCCAATAATAGACGATTAAAAACTCATAAATAACAAGAACTCCAGTGAACATCCTAAACTATTAGTAAAATACAACAAATCTCAGCTCACCACCTCTACAGCCAGTGTTTGCTTCATTTGCTGTGGCTACTAATAAAAGCAACAAACAGATCTGATGTTAGAACAGGAACTATACACTCCTGCAGGGGTCAAAGACGAAGAGATCAGCCTGTCCTACCTCTCTCTGTAAATCGTACAGAGAAAACTGTACTAATAGAATGTAAAGATTATACAAAAACAAGAAAAGAAATCAACCAAACAGGAAAAAGGGAACCAATTTTCCCGATTAGTTTCCCCACCATACACCTTTTTGGTCTTCCTACTTCGGCTCTTATGTCTGACCCTTCGAAGCTAACTTTAAAGGTCGACGCAACACCATCAACACATTGGTTCATCATGTAAAATAATAGATTACTTTTAAAAATGTTTGTTTGTGGTTAGTGTGACGTTACATTATTTAATTTCTTAAAGTTGTCAAACAGAGGTTAGCATAAGAACCACAACATAAAAAAAGTAGGCGAATCACGGTCTGATGAGATTAATTCACCATTCAAAATGTGTGTTTGCTAAGACTCAGTAGTGCACATCTGTAAAAGAACTCCAGACTAACAATAAAACAAGGTAGCGTCGGTAAAGAGATCACAGAGTACTTTCATAGACATGAAACAGTTAGTTTGTACCCAAAAATCCTCAGGTTGCTGTTAGATGGCTGAAGTTTCATAGTGAGTCCAAACATAATGTCAGTCTAAAGCATCAAAAGACTGGCTATTAAAACAGATGATGCTTTTCTATTCCAAAAACTGATGATTATACGCTTAGAAATAGCCAACTCTGAGTCCAAGCATGCCTTCAGAAGAACGAGCAGCTTTCAAGGGAAGAAAAAAATAACTTTAGAACAGATCTAACCAGAGTCCAGGACTACATCTGACAGAAAATCTGTGGAATCACCTGAATAGGATTGTTGGTGAGAAATGGCTTCATATTCTAGGAGATTCAGATACATTATTCGAGGTGGAAAAAGTAAGACCTTCTAACACCTAGTATCAGTACTTTACTCCTGCTATATCTAATATTTGAAAAATAGATTCCGTAGACCAAAAAACATAGGTCTGTAGGCTGATCTGGTATGGTGAATAAAATCTAAATTAACTAATTAAATGTTAAGTAAAAAAAAAAAGAAAATCTAACCTGAAACTCAGTAAAATATTGCAGGGCTCCCTTTAACTCATCATGGAGGGTTGTAGAGATGGATCCAATTTTTTAAGCCATTTGTTCTGAAATTTTGTGTAATTTTTATTTCTCTTTGCAATCTTCCTCTTATTTGTGTTCCTCCCAGATTGGAGAGAGTGACGGGTCTCCTGGTAACGTGTCAGGATCACATGACTCACAGCTGCATTCATCCTGCCAGCCTCTTTCTCAGGCAACAGGTACGAACCCTGCATTAGCAGCATTGATTTTATTCCTAGTGATGCTGCCCACCTATTGCATGTTTCAGTACATTTGTTTGTTTACAACAGGTGCCCCGATGCTGTCCCGTCTTCTGGAGGCAGGTCCTGCCCAGTTTTCCTCTTCGATCGGTTTCATGGTCGGCACAGACTCCCCTTCCAGTGGTTCCGTCTCCACAACTCCATCCGCCTCCGTTGACCCTACCATGTCAGAAAGCACAGGTCGACCCGCCATCTAATTTTGTGGATATTTTTCTAAATAAAGTTTTTACAGTGTTTAAATCTAGGGTTGTTTTGCATGCAGCAGTGGATTTGATGGCGCCGTCTGTACGTCCTAACTGCCGAGCTGATTCTGCTGAAGATAAGGTAGCAGAGCTCAGTGAGGAGGATGTGAGCTACATGGGGGACGAGCTGGACCTGAAGACAGTGGGGGACATTATCGCCATCATTGAAGACAAGGTAAAAAATAAAAAAAACAATTGTTCAAATCGTCTGTTTTCGTCTGAGATGGACAGATCATAATTTTGTGGACAATTTCTCACCTGAGAGCTTTGATCCACCACTTTTTATATTTCCCCTTATTTGTTTGGTTAGTTTATTAAAATTGAACCATGTACAGGTGCAACCATCTCAAAGGAAATTACATTTTATATTAGATTTTATGTCTCTGAGCTAATTTCCATTGGTAGTCCAAAGGGTAGGAAAAGACAAAATACAGAGGAACATACAAACAGGCTGGATCAGTAAAGTCTTGCTCCCCTAGCTGGAATTAAATTGATTATTTTAGAGTTTGCCCACTTCTTTTTTGTTTATTGGAAACAACTAATTGGACACAACAGGGTTTAAAAGGGAATTTTCCTTCTCAACGTTGCAGGCAGATGAGGCAGCAGAGGCGCTGGATGCTGCAGCAGTTGAAGCAGCTCTGTCCCTCTGTGAGGAGAATGACCACGCTCTGACAGCGGCCTGGGATGCTGTGCCTTTACAGCCCCAAGAACCACACCCCACTCACCGGATTCTGGAGGGAGGAGCAGAAGTGTCTCTCTCTTCTCTGTACAGCAGCGAAGAAAATAATCTTCCAGCATTTTCCCTGGAGCTGGGAAGCCTTCATCCCACCTCCTCCTGCAACTCAAAGACTGTGGAGCACAGTGCCACGCCTGCACAGTGTCAAGGAGTGAGAGAGACAGAGGGAGCGGATCGCTCACGCAAACGCATTTCACTAGATGGTAGCACACAGTGTGAAGGTGAAAAACCACCAGCACAAAAGCCAGAAAAAACCCTCAGAGGTATGTGTACACAGGCCTGAATACAGTGGTGTGAAACAGTGTTTGTGCCTTACAAACCTAAATGTTTTAAATCCTCAAATAACTAATAATGATTTCATTCATTAAAGAAAAAAAAAACACCCAGCCAAGACCTCTGGGAAAAAGTAATTTCCCCATTTTTAATTAAAAAAAAAGATTTTTTTTTTTTATTTACTTTGTACAACCTAGCTTCCATCCCAGTGCAAGTATGAGAAGAAATATCATAAGCAATTCCAGCGTTTTTGTATAGTAACCAAACATGCATAACAGAGGAGTGATTTTTTCTTATGTTAGGGGAAAAACACAATCAAGAGCATACATTTACCATAATTCTGACCCAAGGTACATTACATAGCAAAACAGTATTTGCATGTGATGGACATATTTAGACCACAGTGATTACTTCTTTTTTTACGTAATTTGTCAATGTAGACCAGATCCTGAAGAATGATTCCCTCATCCTTAAATAGAAAAAGCTAACTTCTTCAGCATGTAAATGTTCTGTTCAGTATTGACCCAAATTAAGGTTGTTTTTTTTTAACAGAGCAAAATTTCACAAGCCAAACCCAGGTATGATTATTATCTGACCTGCAGATATGACGAATAATTTCAATAGTGATAATTCATTTTAGTTAACAAAACATTTCGAAACGTACAGAGACATTGTAAAATATAATCAAATCAAAACAAGAAAAGGAACTTTAAGTCAACAGAGTAAAAGAAAGTTCACACAAATGATAAGTTTTGTGTTATATGTATAAGTTGTGTGTTTGTTTTGAGTGGCTTTTAAGGAAGGGTAATAAGTTAGTATAGACCTGTGGGAGCGAGGGGGTGGGTGAATGTGGAAAAGTTTGGCTAAATAAATTAATGATGGCCTTAAAGAGGAGGGACTTAGATTAGATTCTGAACTGAGTGCAAGTTATGGATAAATGAATTAATCTGAAGTGGATAGATATTAATCAACTAATGATTCACTAATAAGCTGCATTTTCCATAAAGACTTTTCATAAAGTTTTCTATTTTATCTAAAGGATTGTTTCATGACATAAAAGGCTAAAAACTTTTTGCAACATGTTGAATTTAAAAAAAGGACATTGTTTTATTTTAGCAATTAACTGTGCCAGCTGTACTAAATATTCAATTCAGTTTATTTATATAGCGCCAATTCACAACACAATTCATCTCAAGGCACTTTACAGTTAAATCAGATCATCAGACTCAAATACAATCCCTCATACTGAGCATCCTTGTAGCGACAGTGGAGAGGAAAAACTCCCTTATAACAGGAAGAAACCTCCAGCAGACTCAGAAATACTGACTGAAAGAACTGAAATATGTATTCTTACACATTACTAAACTTAAAAATTTAAAACAAAACAGGAACCTATTAGCCTGTGACAGATTGGCGACCTGTCCAGGGTACATCCCGCCTCTCGCCCATTGACAGCTAGAGATAGGAACCAGAACCCCTGGCGACCCCAGCAGGGATAAGCATGACAGAAAATGGATGGAAGGAGCCTATTAGATTACTGGAAAAAAAATAAAGATGAATACTCTGCTGGACAGCAGTAACATCACAGCACTGAAATGAATTACTTCTAAACAAACATTATCAATTAATCCGATAAAATAAATGGGTTATTTAAAAGAAGTGCCTGAAATTGATGTGTTGCGAATCATTTCTATATAAATAAACTCATTTGAATTGAACAAATGTAATTCTAGGAAACCAATAATCAATGGTTAATTGTAAATCCTGGCTTACTTTGTTAGAAACTTCAGAAGACTCAGGCGGAAGCATCAACAATTCCCTGAATCAAAGACTGCCTGACAGACAGACCAGATTTTGTTAGACTGGAGGCTCAGCTGCCTAGTCAAGTAGTCAGGAGCACCACAGGGGACGGTACTCTCACCATTCCTTTTTACTCTGTACACCTCTGATTTTCAGTACAAAGCAAGACTCCTGTCTTTTGAAGAAATACAGATGAAGCATCCAACAGTGGTAGGATGCATCAAAGAAGGACAAGAAGAGTACAGAGAGCTGGTGAACTGCTTTGTGACATGGTGTAGAAATAATCATCTGATCCTGAATGTCAACAAAACAAGAGAGAGGATTGTAGATTTCAGAAGAAACAGGAACAAGTTGAATCCTGTTAATATCAACAGAGAAAAAGAGGAGATGGTTGAGGAGTATAAGTACATTGGCAGTCACCACAACAACAAACTGGACTGGAGACACACCTGTGAAGCCGTCAATTAGAAGGGACAGAACAGACTGTACTTCCTAAGGAAGCTTAGGTCCTTTGGCATTTGCAGCAAGATGCTGTTTATCTTCTCTAAGTCTGTTGTGAAGAGTGTGAACTCTTCTGTCATCATCTGCTGCAGTGACAGAGATGGCGTGGGTACTGAGAAAAGTATGGAGGTGGATTATAGAACAAATCTGAAAATAGCTGACCTAATAATATTATTAATTTAGAATTGAATGGAGAAGTTGCTATCTAGGATGATTCCCCAACCCTTTCCCTTAAAGCAGTGTTTCCCAACCTTTTTTTACTTGTATAAGCCTTTGGGCATTTTGTCTTACCATGAGCACCCCTCTCAGTCAAAAGTATTGATGATTGTTCAAAAGTGCACATACAATAACTGATTATAAAACAAAAACTCATTTACTAAATCTTTTAACCTGAGCATTAAATTTTTAGAGCAAAAATTCTATTTACATTGATTTAATTAGTTTCATCTGAGATGAGCTCTGATAGTTTTATTTTAAAACAGCTGTTCCCAGTCTATTCTTCCTCTTGTTTTGGTGAACTCAAACATATAAGAAAAACAAAGTGTTTGGGCAATAAAAGCTTGTTTAACTTTTCTATCGGGTCATCAAAAAGCAAAACCGATCCCAGCCCTATTTTTTTTACTACCTAAGAAATAAAACATTTTCATGTACCCATTGCAATGCACTCACAGACCACTAGGGGTACGCTTATCACCGGTTGGGAAACACTGTTTTTAAGGAAGGGGGGAAGTGAGGAATTATCAATGATAAAAGAAAATTTGATGATATTGGTGCAAATTGAAAGAATTTCTGTTTTGTCTGGTAAAGTGTATTATTAGGGCATGATGATGTGGCCAAAACTTACATTAATAAAGGATTCAACATTTTGGTTGATATGATGTAATTTAAGCATCAATATGAAATATGATTAAAAGCCTGAAAATACTGCCAAGAATGCCATGACATGGTTATGAAAACGATGATTATAATTCTCCAATTAAAATATTTTCTTTTAAAAAACAAAATTCAAATTCAAACCTTGAACGTCAGTCTCTGACAAACGCTGTACTCTTTGACTGTAATGCATGCTACAAAATATCGGAAATGTCTTATCACTGTTATTGTATAAAATTAGATTGGGATATATATATATTGGCATTGAATTGTCATCCGGCCCCATTTGTTATAAATTATTAGATCAGAGGAGAGATAGGAGGAGGTAATGTGCCAGATGGTTTGCAGAAGAGGTAGAGCTGGGTGTCATCTGCATAGCAGACCTCTTCCACTTCAACTAGACATTGAAGTGGAAGAGGATGGAACCGAGGATGAGAAGATAGATGGTAAAAAAGGAGCAGGGCTAGGATTGGGCCCTGAGGGACACCAAAAGTGATAGGAGAGGGGATGGAATAAAAAGTTTTTGGCTGGGTAAACAGAGTGTGGGCAATTAGGTGTGAGCAGAACCATGAGAGGAGAATATTTGTAAGCCAATAGAAGAGTCTTTGGAGGAGGATGGAGTGTGACACAAAGGCCTAACTAAGATCAAAGAGTAATAGTAGGAAGAGAAGGCTGGAGTCAGAGGTCATTGGGGATATTAATTAGGGCTGTTTCAAGCAAAAGCTGGGGATGAATACTGGACTGGAGAAGCTCTATAAATTAATAATGGCAAGATTTGAGAGGTAGCTGTTATTTCTCCAAAATCTACTTGAAAGCTGAAATAGCTCAAAAAGCTACACATAATTCAAAAAATAGTTTGCAAACAAATGTCTTAACCTTTAGTGACTCTGGAGAGGATACAGTCAGATTGGTTTACAGTTTCTTTCAAGGAAAACCAGTGAATTGCATCCAACCATTGACTTGCAAGACATTCTCCTCTTGGATGAGCTTGCGGCAATGATTTTTGCATGGATGTCGTTGTTGACTAAACAGCAATCTCTCACAGTAATTGGGAAGAGAAAAAAAACTCCCTTTTAACAGAAAGAAACATTCAGTTGTGTGAGGGGCCTTATGCCGAGGCCGACTGGGTTTCAAGGCAATGCATTCAGACATACAAAAAGAAACTGTTGACCAGCTCCACAAATGGCCCGTCCAGGAAAGATACGGCCAGACACAAAGGCTCTGGGACAGTTCTCATGTCAGAGGATGAAAAAGAGCACATACAGTTAGTCAAAGTAAAAAAAACAATAAAAAATAAAACAGGACTACACACAAAAAAAAAACAGGCCAAACTCCAACATCTGTGAACAGATATTGATGGCAGCAATCCACGAAAGTATTTTATTCCAGGATGGATTTACAGTCAACAAGAGCAGACCTAATGAAGCTACTGTGACAAGAAAAAGCAGAGAGAACATAAAAGTTATGGGTGGAATGAACAAATATTACTAAATGAGCAAATAGAGATAGAATGAATAAGAAAGAAGAAAAGTGTTCCCTATGTCCTCCAGCAGCCTAAACACATAGCAGCACAGAAATGGAAAGTAGCTCAGGATAAGCTAAGTATTTCAGGTATGAGACAGGTGCAGCCTCACCAAAATCAATCTGGTTGAGAGAATAACATTCAAAGCACTGAGGACATCACCTACCACTGTTGGGGTCAGAGTTCATGACTTATCAATAAGGAACAGATTTGAAAATCCTCCAACGTGACTAAATTAAACATTTTGACCAGGAAAATGGGGTAAAATTACGGTTTTGATTTCAAACAATAATGGTTAGTTTTTACAAACTCTTGGTGCCGGTTGTTTCAGGTAAGAGAGGCTGAGCAAGTTATTAGGTTAAGGAGACAAATTAAAAGTGGAAGGATTTTCCTTTAATGCCTGAAATCATTTGAAAGTTGTCTTTTGTATTTTTTTAGTTATCTTTATGTTGTAATTTTTTTTTAATAATGTGAAACAATTTAGTTTGACTCAAAGAAAAAAGCACATCGAAAATTGTTTGAGTACAAACGCCTTTTCACAGCCCTGTATGTTTACCTCATACCCTGCATTTTTATAAACATTTCCTTCTTGTCATTCATTTGTGCAGTTTTAACAGACTCAGTATTAGAAGACAAACAAGAAACAGACTGGGAGTCCCAGGTATAGCACCCAGGGTAGAGAAAGCAAACACAATGCATCGCATTCTTCTACATAAAGTCAGCTTTTTCCCCATATGAGTCTTAACTTTTGTCTTAGGAAAGGAAGGTAGAGGATGGCCTCGGAGCTGAGGAAGTGGAGAATGTGTCGGAGTCAAAAGCGGACAGCGAGGTCACAGGAACAGAGTTGTGTGAGGAAGAAGATGGGGTGGAGGAGTTCTCCTCTGAACCCGATGGCGAAATGGAGCTAGAACCGGCAGCCAGCGAGAGCGAGGACGGTTACAGTCTCCGCACGGCTTCTTCATCTCTCCAGCTGCACACCACTGCAGACTCCATCCCCAGCAGCCCCGCCTCATCACAGTTGTGAGTGGCACAGATTCAGAGTCCATCATCAGTGTGTGATGTTGGAGGCATGTACCTCCCAGATGGTGCTGCAGTTTCCACCTCCTGCTGACATTTGGTTCTTTCCCTTCTTTTCTACCTGAACTGAGCAGCTCAGTGTGCAGTGAGGATCTGGAGGCTCTGCAGGCTCACAAGATCTGGAAGAAAGCCATCATGCTGGTGTGGCGAGCAGCTGCCAATCACAGGTCAGTATGCAGCTGTTACACCACCTTGCATGATTATTCACACTCATGTAAACCTTTTGAAATTTCATAGCTTTATTTTGTTGGTATTTTATAGAGCGACACCTGGATAAAGCCAAAAGTATTCACAGACCCTAA